AAAAACAACGTAGTTTTTGGCTTTATGCCATTATTAACATCTCGTCTGGTGAAAAATGCAAAGGAAATATTAAAAGTGTATTTGGTTTGATTAATTTTATTAATTTATATTTTTTAAATAGTTGATTAAAGAATTTAAAATTAGTAATTTAGAGGCCAATTTCTACCTGGTATTGATAGATTTTAATTATTTTATTCACTACAACTAGTTATTATAGTTATTGTAATAATAACGAAATAAATAAAGCCTAAGACGACGCCCCCTCCCCCCCCAGAAAAAAAAAAAGGCCTAAGACTGTCAACTTTTTTTCTTTTTTTATCTTCCTAAGGCAGCCACTTGTGAGGTTAAGTTCCACTTATTTTTTTTTTTACAATAATTAGTATATTATCTTATTTAATACATTATATAATATATTTATTAAAAATAATTATTTTTTAATATAAAACTAAAAATAAATAGATTTAAAAATACAATTATACATATATAATACAAGAATAAACTAAATCAATTATATTTATATTATATTTTAATAACTAAATAAAACATATATTAAAGAGTATGTTAAACCAAAAAATACATTAATCATTTTATTTTTTTTTCCATAATTTTTGTTTTGAACATCCTTTCAAATTTCCGTTTTTTAATTTGTTATTGTAATTTGATTTACATAATTGTTTGACGTGTCATTTAATTGAACAAAAATCATTTCCCTTCTATACATATCTCAATCCAAACATACTCATGTAGTCTATTGCATACACAATTCATAAAATACAACACACAGCAGAACGCACGATCATTAACAAATGTGTGCTGCATCACCTTACTTACAAAGGCTAAAAGAATTATTTCTTGTTAACAATAAAAAAGCGCACTGCAAGAAAAAGGTTTATTATTATTATTATTATTTTGCAAGAATCACATGCATGAATAAACAGAGCAATATTCTAATTGAAAATGATAATATTATTGTTTACACCTAATTTTACAACAAATAGAGTGCTGCCACGTGTCACCCATGATGGCAGATATTTTATTAGTTGGTGTGAATTTCTTCAGATGAGATTGAGTGGTTATTTCCACAACGGCAGCAAAACCGTTCTTTTGTTGCAAGCTTTTAGGAGGATAATTGCAGCACCAACAAATTAATCAATTTGTTGCAGATATTACGCTGCCGTTGGTTTTTCAGCTGCCGCAGATGTCCACCATGCTGCCAAGGTGTTATAAATACCTAATGATAAGATCAAGCAAGGGATCGACATCTCACACAACAAACTCAGCACAATTTCTCTTTATACTCAGATTCATCTTAGTTTCAAGTCCTTTAATTTAATTTTAGCTTTACGCTTCAACTTAGATTAGTTTAGCAATTCGGTTCTTCTTTTGTCGAATTTGTAATGGTGAGTTTTGCTGCCTTCAATAATATTTCTTTGTAATCGGATTGCTTCCTTTCCTTTTTATTTGTTTTCCAAATTTCTTTTAATTTAATCAAATGATGTCGACATTTAATTTCATGTTCAGTTCCATTTCCATTAATTTACATTTCATGCTACCAGTAGATTTTTCATGCTTCGGGTTTTATTTACTTTTGCTGCAATTAAATTTCCTTTTAAGGCTCTGTTTCAATTCAGTTTGCGTATTTAAAGTTCATTTATATTTTCAGTAATTTAACGATCATTTATTTACCTTGCAGTCTTAACTTTTCTTGATTACATTAGCTTTTAGGAGTCATTGGAATTATATCCAGGGCATTTTGTCGTATAACCCATTTAGTGCAAGAAGTTCATCTCTCGTTTCTACCAATCGTCTGATCTTTAAGGTGCAATTCACGACGTTCTTCCATCAACTCACAAGTTGAGTTCCACGCTTGGAAAGAAGAAATGGTCGTCAGAGAAATCTTTCTTGTTTTGAGCAAAGCAAGTGGCACGTCATTTCATCTGCCACGTGTTAAGGAGATTTTTTGGGATAACAATTATAATTATAATATTACGTAAAATTATAAATTCATAATTATAATATATTATTAAATAATAACAAATAATAAATATATATAATATCATAAATTGATATTTAAATAAAAATAAATAATTATATATTAATATATTATATTATAATTATATATTATTTTTAAATTAAAATACCTATAAAAAAAATCGAACTGAAATAAGAATGAGGAACCGCATGGCGCATGCAACTTCATTTACTTATTTTTATGAGATGCGCCACTTAGTTCAATTGGGTGTCGTCTTGTCCTTTTTAAACGTCCACATTTTTGTTCCTGAACCTTCTGCTCCTCGGCATATAAATAATGCCCACTGATTGGGCTAAGTGAAACGGGCCTTGGACCATGATCCAAATTCAAATCCGATAAACATTATTTTTTCTGAATGTATGGGCCTACGTGCTCCTTCCTGATTCACGTGGATTTCACGTGCCCCAAGCTACTCGGGTCAGAGTGTGAGCCAGTGATCCGTTCAATCAATACAATGGAGTCCAATGAAGGAAGATGGATCAGACAAACAAATACCCGAACTTTTGAAAATATATGTACGAAAAAAGTGTCCTGCAGTCCATCACAGGACGGACTGCAAGATTAAGACCATTTAAGGGAAATGGCTTTTTATATTGTACCCTTCTCTTCTTCTTTTAATGATTTTGATTTTACAGTTGATTATAAGATAAGAGGATTGTGAAATAGGATATTCATATATATAATTATTAATTTTAATTATTTAAATTTTGATAATTAAAGTAAATAACAAATATGTTAAAAAATTATAGTACTATATAATTTATATAAGTTTTACTAAATTTTAAAATTAGTTTCATAAAATATCTAATAGAATAATATTTTTTAATATAAAATTGTCAAAAAAGACAATATATATAAATTAAATAATCATAATAGTGGATGACCGATGTAAGTTTTTAAAGTAAATAAATAAAAATCGTAAATTTAAATTATATGATATATAAATAAAATGAATTAAAAAATATAAAAAAATATTTTTTGTTATATAATTTAAAATTAAAAAAACAATAATATCGATGAAATGCACAAAATTAATCATTGATACAAAAGGTGCTCTGCCAATATGGGATCGTCCTCCTCCACTATCAATAATTGCTTTAAAAAATCCGTCACAGATTGAACTGCTAAAAAGGACTGTCGGCTAGATACGATATTTATGTCCATAAAAGGAAATACGGGGGCGGGCTACGACAGTTCAGTTCAGTGAATTTTTATTTTTGAAAATAATGATATATAATATCAAATTTTGATATTAAAATTTAAAAATAATAATGTGATATGATACAAATTATATTATTTAAAATATTAAAAAATAAAATTTATATTATTTAATAAATTTTTTAATTTTTTAAAATTTATATTATATACATTAATTAATTTAATAATATCACATAAATTATGTTATTAATTTTAAATTTTTATCGTAAATTGTTATTCTCTGTTATTATCCTATTCCTATATTTATAGAATGGGAAAGACCATAACACCACATGCCACAATTATTTTTATTAATTGAACAAGTGGACAACTCTGGCATATATCTAAATCACGTGCTCCATGATTTCTGTCGGCATTCCGTGTGCCGACTGTTGCGTCTCTGTCGGGAGGGTGGAGTGGAGCGTCCAATTCCAAATCATACGCGAGCGGAACGCGCTTCCACCAGTGGCAATTCTCATATCCATATACTATTGTAAATATTAATAATTTTAAGTGAAAAAAATTTAATTTTTTAAAATAAAATTTTAAATTTAAATTTTATAAATAAAAAATAAACTTTTAAAAAATTTCCTACATATAAAATCTAATTCGATTTGACTCTCAAAATCTATTTTTGGATACTGAAGTTAATTCCAACAAATATAAATACTATTGCAAACCGAAAATGAAGATGTTGTTATCATTTTTGGGTTGAAGTAGAACACAATGTCATCAACTATTTTTTGCTCCTTTGACCTTCATCACCTACCA